CCGTTATCTAAAAATACTGAAAATCGGACCTATCTAGCTCTTTTCGTTCGAATGTTATACAGAAAACATCCGCGACCATTCTGTTTTGAAATGGATAGCAGATACGAAGACATGGTTTACGTGGTAACCTCCCGAGATGCTAAAAACCTTTTTGAATGGGACTATTTTTTAAAATGTAAGCCCTCATGGGCTGTGAAGAACTCCAACTTATCTGCAGAGTTATTTTGGGATATTGGAAAAGAGCGTATATGTTTACATACAACAGGCACTTAATCACAATTTTAAAAGTTGTTTTTTGACGAAGTGAGCGCGACGTTTTTGAACCTGAGTTGAAGATACTACGGTACAGTAATAACTCCAAGCCAGTTGGAGGTCTTCATAGCCCATGAGGGCCTACATTTTAGAAATAGTCGCATTCAAAAAAGTTTTTAGCACCTCAGGAGGTTCCCGCGTTAGCTGAATGCAATCGACTGGGATTATTTCTCCAGCCAAACTGGCTCATTTGATGACGAAAAACACCAGACACTGAGTGCTATCCATTTTAAGGAATACTATCCAACTTCGTTATATGTGTTATCTCTCATTACCCACAACTAAACAGTAATCTCAAATTCTCAGATGTGACGTGATTAAATGATCGTTGAGTTCCATTTCCTATTCACGTGCTGGCCTACCACATTACCTCTTTCCTAGTCGTCAAAAAATACTCTAATTTTTACCGTATATAATATGAGCAGCTGAATCATTTTTAATAATACGGTGAATACATTGATAAAGAAAAATAGAGTTACAGACATCGATTTAAGCATGGTTTATTAGAGGCATTTCTTGAAACACTTTTCACATCATCAGTCAAATGTACAATAAACAAAACAAGTTTAAAAAGTTTTATAAAAACAGAACTACAAAGAGGTTACAATAAATTGAGTCATTTTGTAAGGTGAAGAATTTCAATATAGATAATAAGAGATACACAACCTGAACATTCATATGAACATCCATATTGATCAAAAGATAAGACTAATTTATTCTCAAAAAAGCTTTGAATTTAACGTATTTTGACGACACATAATTCGGTCGTCATATATTGTGAAAAAAGAAAAGTCGTATTTTATCCATTTTATTTGTTGCGTTCTACATACGTGTATTTGTACTTTTATTTTATCTTCTATTTTAACCAACTTTCGTCTGTCACATTTGACTGAGGATGTCTTTTGAATAAAGACGAAAGATTACAATAAATTTATTTTACTAAATTCCTTCCACACATATAGCGAAATGTAGTAAAATTACTAAAATAAGTTTATTTTACTTTTTTGCGTTCTGTTACACGTTGTTTCATCTTTGCTATAGTTAGTTTAAACTTGTTTTCTTTATTGTACAGTTTGACTGATGATGTGAAAAGTGTTTCAAGAAATATCTCTAATAAACTATGCTTACATATCATCGATAAAAAAAATTAAAGTTTGTTTAGAGTTAAGAAAAGTGCTTTTTCGTATTTAGCACACTTGATAAACTGGAAAATTTTCTATTTTTAGCCAGGGGTACCGCCAAAAAGTTAGGAAAAATTTTCAAACAAAGTGACGCAGAAAAATCTCCATGACAAAATTATACAATTTTGAAAACTTTTCTTAACTTTTTGGCGGTACTCCTCGCTAAAAATAGAAAATTTTCCAGGTTATCAAGTGTGCTGAATAGGAAAAGCACTTTTCTTCAACTCTAAATGAACTTTAATTTTTTGTCGGTGATATGAATCGATGTCTGTAACTCTATTATTCTTTACAACATAAGCAGCTTTCGTGCATCGCCTATTCCCTCAATGTCAACAGTAGATGTCACTAGAGTTAGTGATGCTCCTTTAGTTGAAGTTATCACTTGATTTTAAAAGAATGGTTAATCGAAAATTCTTGCCATTGATGGTGTATGTGAGAATATGAAAGCTGCGGCGAGAAGGAATTTAATACGCTCTATCAGAATTTGAAGGATGCCTATTTTTGATTCACGACTAAATTTTATCTACCTCTGCGCGATACGTTTGGTACATCTTTCAGTTGATTGTGATCGGTAAGTGAAGACTTCTTCTTTCGCCTTTGTTCAATATTACTTTTGCTTTGAATATTTTCACGAACATATGGTGGAGTAGAAGAACGGATTGGAAATGGAGGCGTATAGGAAGTGTTCTGTTTAATTAATGATTGAGATTGAGAGCTAATCGGTAATACACGTTGCCTTTGCTGGATATCAACAGGATTTGACTGAGCTCGGCCACTCATTTGCGACATAGATTGGCTCCTGGTTTGCTCAGATATATTATTCTGAGTCTAAAAGAAGCTTTACTATTCAGAAAGCAGACAGCCAAAACTTTTCTGACGGCAGATAGAAAGTCTCTGAATTTTTTCATAAACTTTCATGAATCAGTCGCGAATTCAAAACAAAATAGCTATGGGATCAACTCTTTCACAGTTTAAACAACCATTTTCCTAAACGTTTGGCTCAAAAGTAGCTGAATTATGAGCTATAGTTTGAACGCGTGTCATCTATATATTGTTGTGATCTAAGATGAAACAAGATTCTTTCCGTTATAAGTTTTCGTTTTTTTCCCCGTGTATCAGTGGACACGAAAGACTAACAAAAAGAAGAGCAAAGCAGAGCGTACTAATGTACAATATAAGAAAGTAGGAGACTGCTACAAAATATAGAGATACGAAAATTTCCTGGCTATCAAAATCAAAGAAACATACTGAGTGACTCGGTGATTTTTTCCTAAAAAGTTTCAAATTTAGAGAAAATATCCTAAAGAAGAAGAACATATTTTTTACCACCTTCTCCATTCCCAATAGAGGTGGCTCTGTACTTATTACTCGATGTTACCTTACCAAGTAAAAAGTAAGAAAAACTTTTTACTTGTTACTAGTAATTAGTAACGTCAGATGCTGGTTTGCTAGTAACAAGTAACAAATTTTCTTACTTTACTTGGTAAAATCACATCGAGTAATAAGTGTTGAACCATCCTTACCGATAAAGAAGTATCTTTAAATATTTGTTAGCTATACATCATGCTAAGGGAAGAGTCATAACTTAAAAGAAATCTGATGAAGTTCAAAGTTTTTCTAAAATTTCAAAAACACATGTTTTCTAAAAAAATTTGTTCATTGTTACTTTACCAAAAGTAACCAAGTAAGGCGCCGCTAATTCACAGTTACAACGCCTCTCAGATTTTCTTCGCTTATATATATAGACCGATGGAGTTTGAAGAGCTGCATCTACTGGAGATCTTTTTTCCAGAAAATCTTTTGTTTTCATGGTGAAATTCGCGAAATACCAAGAAGGATAAAAAAACCTAAAGAATGCATCCTTCACATGAAGTGCCTGCCGTTTTTTCTACTTTCACTCTACGATTTTGAAACAAAGTTTTTCAGAATCAGCATGTCAAACTACATAGGAACACGTGTTCTTAAAGTTCGGAAGAGCGTTACCCGCTTCGACAAAAATTCGCTTTTTGAGGCCGGACAGAAACCATACCCTCTGTCAGAAGAGCATCAAGTCCCCCAGGATAACAGATGGAGCCTTGATTCTTGCGCCATTCAAACCGCCTTGAATCGGCGAACAAAGTTTTAACTCGAAAATTATGATTTTTTTCTGTTCTGTTAGGAAATTTCACTTTTTCTAAACCAGGAACGAAAAAATCGAAATTGTGTCCGTAGTTCTTAATTTTCTCCAGCCAGGACTCAACTTTTATGCAATAAAAGTATCATATTCGAAGTCAGCGTCCGAAACTGAGTCGACTGATGTACCTTTTTATCCTATCCGACCACTCTTGTTTTTTTCGAATTTTTAGGTTGAAAAATTACTAGGAATTAGCGGCGCCTCAACAAATCTTTGTTACTTTGTTACTAGCAACAAGCAACAACTGCGTTAGTTATTAGTAGTAACAAAGTAACCAACTAGCATCTGTTGTTATTACTAATTACTAGTAACAAGTAACAATTTCGTTACTTGTTACTAGTAACAGTAATGGTAATCAGCCAGTCCTAATTGCCAAGATCAATAGTTTTCTCATATAATCTGCTTTAGCTGCGATTAATATAAACAAACTAGTCGTACTTATTGGAATGCCGATAGAAGTCAGCTACGATTTAAATAAGACTTTCTTCTTTGAGTTCGTTTAGTAGGCTATGTCTGTTTATCCATATGAAAAGAAAAGTAGGTGGATACTAAAGAACTCCTTACTTGTATTGTTTCGATGTCATCCGTTGTTCTTGGCCGACATTTGTAATGTAAAAAGCAAAAGATGAATATCAGTAAGGCAACGAAAACAATTGGTCCAAGAATAGCTCCAATTAACCAGAGTTTTGGACCACTCGGCGTAGGTGTTGGACCACTCGGCGTAAGTGTTGGTGTGGTATTTCCATTTTCGAGTACCACTTTTTCTGTCGGATTTACTCTATATGGTTTTAAGAAATGATTCATTACTTGTGGTAGCAAACTGGCAATAGACGCGTACACTAGTGCACCGTCAATTGTAGACGTAGAATTTTTTACATAGTAATAAATCCGTAAATCACTCGATGCATCGCTCTCCTAAAAAAGTCATTTCGAAAACAGACTCACATAAGGCATTATGCTGCTACGTTAACAACAGGAGCTTCTCAAGTATTATTTGGTTGGTCCCATCGGATTATGGATAATTTCTTATACTGATCACCAATCTGATATCTGTTTGTATCGGCCTTTCACAATTTCGATTTATTATTCTGTTCGTATCAGATTTCCCAGCATATCAGATTATCTAGCATCACAAGGTTTTACTGTTACAGACAAACAGCTTTTACCAAATCATAAAAGTTAATCTGTCAGAATAAGGAGTAAAGGAGTAAATTAGATATAATGGAAACTAAAGGTACTTTGGCCTTCTTGAAATAAAGCAAACATAAAGTTGCTACTCTAATTCAAACTTTTCTTTACATGACTACCTACGGCTACGGCGTAATCATGGTTGCTCCTTCGTTTGCTGTAATCTTCAGCATTTTTTCTGTTTTACAAAGATTTCTTTCATGTTTCTTCACTCTCATGTTCTTAGCTTTGACACATTATTTTTTTGAACCTTTGGCAGCGAATCGCTCGCTGATCGTACATATTCAGTAGCGATTCGGTAGAACATACATTCGCTCACATTGTACTTTAGTTAGTCTATTTTCTCACTGGTTAGTTCTTTCCGAAACTTCAATTGCATCCCATTTGTCTTTAGTTCAGACCGTGCATGCAACAATCCCAAGCCAGGGCTCGCTGATCGGCAGTGAACATATTCGGTAGCGAACTGTTTGGTGACCGAACATGTTCGGTAACAATCTGTTCCGTGCTGATCAACGAGCCCTAGCTTGGGATTGTTGCATGCTTAACCGCGAAGACTTGTTCATTGAAAAAGAAGAATAAATGAGCCTGGTTTTGTATTTTCTACATCATGTTTTGAAATCTGAGTGAAGTTATAAAGTTAATAGTCATTATGTGATATAGTTATAGATATCCAGTTTCATGACTTATCGTGTTTGACCGGTTTCCCTTCGATACACGATAAGCTGAAGCTCACTATTTATCAGCATTGGTTTGTATATAATCAGGTTTTTTATAGCAGTGCAGAACCCGTGACACGACCCAGAGCTGAAACCGGTCTGGAAATACTAGACCGGTCCGGTCCGGCCAGTCACCGGCCGGTCTAAAAATATTTCCAGACCGGTAAAAATCGGAGAGTTTATCAAGTTTTTTCAAGTATAACATTGATATTAGGGACAAATACAGACTCATTTATTCTTCTTTTCCAATAAACAAGTATTCGCGGAAATGTCGAAATGTCGGTGTAACACATCTGTGCTGCTGCTCTACATGAATAAACTAGTGCGAAGTAAAAAGTAGAAACGAAAGTTATTTTCTTCCTGAAAAGCTGTCCATTGTTTCAACTGAACAAGTCAGTAGAAACATTATCAAGTTGTTTTGGATTATACTCGATCGCCGTTCAGTTACGATAAACCTTGAGAGAGATATCCAGAGTGATATTAGTAAAAAAACTAAAGTAAAAACGAGATAAGCATAACTCTCATACTTGTCTAGTCCTTTTTATTTTTTTTATTTCCTCTTCTGTTCTGTTAGTGTTTCTTCTGTTTTAACTATCATCAGACGAAATATTTCGTACGTTTGTTTATATTTGCAAATTGCGTGAAGAAATAACATCTCTTCTTGCAAAGAACCAAAGTCAAAAATTATACATAATCATGGGAGTTCCAATGGAAAATCGAAGCGACACACTTAGATAGCTTCCATCGTACAAATTATACTCACATTCACTTGAACTATCTGTGTCACAATAGCTTCATAAGGACATGGTTGTTGCCTTTTCTTTCGTGTATTTCTACTAAGCACCGGTGCTAATACAACTTGGACCATCTTGGTAATACTGGCTTGTAAGCTTAATTTAACCGATTCGTAATCGTCTGCTGAGTTATATGTCTGATTGTTAGGTTGTATGATACCTGTTAGAGTCAAATAGAAAATAAATTATGCATAAGCTAACGTTAAACTTACGAGTGTACAAAAGATTAGAGGAAGCCGGCGCAGTTGTTGTTGTTGTACTCTGAGAGGTCCATAGTGTTTGAGTATTAGATATATTGTCGATGATACTGTTCGTGCTTGCCACTGTTGCCGTGTTAGTCGATGATTCAGAAGTTTGAATTATTGTTGACAGAGTGTCTGTTCGAGTAAAAATTGATAGAATTGAGTTTGTTGAAATTGTGGCTGATGTGAAATCCGAATCATAAGTAGTAGTTTGTAGTATACTAGTGCTTGATATAGGCGTATTAGTTTCGGTAACAGGTGATGAGACTGATAAAATAGAAAGAGTCGTGGAATGCGTAGCGTCTGAGTTGAACGACGACACACTGCTTGAAACTGAAGAGAAGTCTGCGTTTACGTTGTCAGATAAAGATGTTGATTCTACAATGAATAATTATGTGAAAATATCATCATGAAAATAATGTGTAACAAAAAGCTTACAACTTTTAGCTTTTATAAAATTCAATGTACATTGATCATAGATTCGAGCAATTTATTTATCTAAGAGGTAACACGATCAAGCAAAAGTTTCTAAAAGAGTTGATTACACCAGTGTTCAAGTATAGTGAGAAATTTACAGTGAAATGGTGCAACTTTAAAGAAAATTTTGCTTATTACATGGAAATCTTCAACTTACATTTTATTTAATCCTACTCTTAATCAATATACA